TGCATTTACACATGTACATTGACCCAGGACCAGATGGAGTTATATACGCATATATATGTATATTATATTTATATGGGACATGGGAAAAGGTTATGGCATTTTATATGCTCCACCACCTGATCAGCTGGTATACGTTGATGATTTTACCCACAGTGGCCGAGATGATATGATGGGATGCCCTCAGAGGCCTGATGATGTTATGAAACATGTACCTATGCACGAGATGACATTCATACGCATATGCATTACACTATAAGTATTTCATGATTTACAGAATTATCCAGACTTACAAGTGGAGTCATTTACTCTATATTTCTTCTATGCCTGTTATGTACTTATTTATGTTCCTTACATACTCGGTACATTATTCGTACTGATGTCCCTTTCTTCTTCGGGACACTTTGTTTCATGCCCGCAGGTCCCGATAGACAGATTGAGAGTCATCCAAGTAGGCTATTAGCTCAGCGAAAGATGTTGGTGCGCTCTATTTGCTCTTAAGTTGCTTGTTTGGTCAGTATAATTTAGACGCGTATTGTCTGGTATGGCGAGGCCCTGTCCCGACCTTTATGTTAAGTGTGTACTCTTAGAGGCTTGTAGACAGATATCACTTATACGAATGCGTGTATGGCCTTGTCGGCCTATGTTTTGAGTTTATAAATGATCATTTTGGCCTATTAGGCCCGTATGTCACGTGTATATGATGATGTAATAAGAAAGATACGTTACGTTGGTACTCGGTTGAATAATGTAGCGGGCGACCATCGCGGCACATCGGTTTGGGTCGTGACAAAATGTTTCAGTTAGTGCTCAAGAAATAACCTCCTCTATTGAGGCAGTTGTCATTGCTCCTCTTCTTGCGACCATCACAACCATGGAGGATATGACGGTGGAAGAACCACCAGCCCTTAATATGATAGATTGTTTTTTAAGTAATATACGTGTATGAAAAATAAATTATATATTAATCAAATTACAAAAGTATAAATATATTTAGTAGAATTAGAAACAAGCTGAAGTGCATATTTTTATTATCAAGGTGTAAGGGCATTAATAGACGTTTCTTTCTTTCTTTATTCTGATATCTTTGTCTATTATCCATGTTTCAAATAAACCCCTATTATCTCAATCCCTAAATTGCATGTTTTTTTTGGGTAATTAACTTTCTTTTATATTAATCACCAAAGAAGAACTGTACAAATCTATAGTCAAGCTAACTCAGCTGATTATCTCAAAGTTTAAAAAGCAAAACACTGCATACCTATTTACAGAAGATACTAATGAATCTACTCTGTTCCTAGGTGAAATTGTTGTATACAAATCTTAGCTCTAGTAGTAACTCTAACATTGGAGATGTATGCTATTTCCCATACAAGAACATCGCTGCCTCGGTACCTTTGTTCAAATATACGTGTGTTTCTTTTGATCCAAATTTCATTCGAGATCTCAACGCATAGCATTCTGAAGATGCTTGCCTTCTTTGACTTCCCTTTTCCTTGCTTGGTAATCCACTGAAGATGTTGGTCCCAGCAGGTGGTGTGCACATGTGAACTTTGAATCCACTTCAAGACTTTCTCCCACAGTTCTGTAGTGTATGAGCATTTAACAAAGTGGTGCTCCCTTGATTCATCTTGACCTTGACACATAACGCAATGAGGGGTGACATTTAAACCCCAGCTAGCTAGCCTATCTTTTGTTGGCAATCGTCCATGAAGCAACAACCACATAGTGAAGATTGCCTATGGCCTGGCAGTATTGTGAAAAACGAGACATTTCCAACTAACTCTTGGTAGGTCTCTTAAAAGTTGTAGCTATATTTGTCTAATAATGCTCATGTTATAATAATTTATGTTATGTGCCTGTAGTATAGTTGCTCTTGATCCAATTATTCTTCTTACCATCCAACTGGCTTGTTATGGTATTAGCATATGTCGTAGCTGCTATTGTTTGATATAGTATGCATTGATCTATCTTATTCATAGTTTGTCCTGCTTGTGTGCTAAGTCCTAGTAAGTTTTGGCAATTGCTGCTTTGTTCCACAGAGGAAGGTTGATGAGATTAAGTCCATCAGCTGACTTGGGAGTTCATATATTTTCCCATGCTACTAAGGCCTTCCTAGTTATTGTGTTAGTTCCAGGCCATATGTAACTTCTATAGAGTGCCTCTATCATTTTCAATACCTTAGCAGGTAATATAAACAATTGAGCCCAGTAAGCTTGAATACCAAAGATAACAGACTAAACCAGCTGCACACGACCAGCATAAGATAGCTTTTTAGCAGTCCAAGAAGAAAACTTAGCTGTAATCTTTTCAATAAAAGGCTGCAACTGTATGAGAGCTATTTTCTTTGTGGACAGAGGAATGCCTAGGTATTTGAAGGGTAAGGAACCCTTTTTGTAATGACCCGGCCGGTCGTTTTAAGAATTAATGCCATGTTCCCCTATTAACTGCATTCCCCGTGTTTGTTTCTACTATTGTGAGTTGTCGGGAGGATTCGTTTTGAGTTTCGGAGTGTTTTGGGACACTTAGTCCCTAAACGAGAGCTTAAGCTTTAGAATTTGGACCGTAGTTGGAGCAGTGTGAAGACGGCCTCGGAATGGAATTCCGTCAATTCCGTTAGCTCCGTTGGGTAATCTCGGGCTTAGGGGCGTGTTCGGATTGTGTTTTGGAGGTCCGTAGCTTAATTAGGCTTGAAATGTCGAAAGTCAAATTTTTGAAGTTTCTAGTTCGATAGTGAGATTTCGATATCGGGGTCGGAATGGAATTCCGGAAGTAGGAGTAGGTCCGTTGTGTCATTTGGGACGTGTGTGCAAAATTTCAGGTAATTCGGATGAGGTTTGATAGACTTTTTGATCGAAAGCGGAAATTGGAGGTTTTGGGATCCTTAGGCTTAAATCCGAGGGTGATTTGGTATTCCGACGTTGTTTTGAGTGTTCCGAGATTTGATATAAGTTTGAATAGTGGTATATGACTCGTTCGTATTTTTGTTTGAAGTCCCGGGGGCCTCGGGATAATTTCGGAAGGTGGACGGAAGAATTGGGAGTTTGTTTGAGCAGCTTCAGCTGCTGAACATCTGTCATAACCGCACCTGCGGATTGGGGACCACAGGTGCGAGATCGCAGAAAAATGGGTGTAGCCGCAAATGCGGCCATGCGCTTGAGGAGCAGAAGTCGCAGGTGCGAGAGCTTGAGCGCACCTGTGAGACCGCAGGTGCGACCCAGTGCATTAAGTGATTTTTTGCAGATGCGCACTTGGGACCGCAGGTGTGGGTCCACAGGTGCGAGGATAAGGCCGCAGGTGCAAAAACCCTGGGCCAGAACCTATATAAGGTTTCTGTCGCGATTTCAGCCCATTCTTTCATCATTTTCATCCGAGAATTGAGCTTTTGGGAGGTTTTTGAGAGAGAATTCAAGGGAGTTTTGAGGAGGTAAGATTTTTGGACCCAAAACACGTTTATATGGCATTATTCTACTGATTTGGCAAGAAATTTATGAAAAATGAAGGTTAAAATTAGGGATTTAGGATTTGAAATTTGAGACTTGGAATTAGGGATTTGAGGGGTTGTTTGTGGTCCGATTTTTATGTATGTGGTATGTATGAACTCGTGAGAGTGTAAGGATTCTAGTTTTGCAAATTTTATCCGATTTTGAGAGGTGGGCCCGGGGGACTTTTTGGGCGATTTTTCTAATTTTGTGTGTTAGCTTCGAATTTAATAGTTGGATTAGCTACTTGAAGTTGTATTTACATTTTGCAATTAAATTGAATAGATTTGGGCCATTTGGAGTTGGGTACTCGTGGCAAGAACGTGGTTTCGAGTTGATTGAGCTGGTTTGAGGTAAGTGGCTTGCCTAACCTTGTGTGGGGGAACTCCCCTTAGGATTTGGTATTGTTGATATATGAAATGCCTTGTACGTGAGGTGACGAGTGCGTACATGTGCTAATTGTTGAAAATCCTATTTTCATTAAGTAACTATAGCTGTGTTTTCTTCCTTGTTGTACACTAATTGCAATTTAAGCCTACTGTTAGCTTAGGGAAGCATGTCTAAGTGACTTAACTGCTTTACTTGCTCAAACTGCTTTGTTTGAATTCTGTGCAGCATGTTAGGTTAGAAATACCTGTTTTTCCTTGGTATGAAATTTTATAGAATTGAATATTCTTCGTGATGTTGCTGTGTGTTTACTTTGGGACTACGGGCGATATCCCGGTAGATCCCCCTTGCCTGTTTATTTGGGACTACGGATTGGTATTCCAGTAGATTCCCCTGCACATTTATATTGGAACTACGGGACCGCACTCGGTAGATTCCCCCTATACTGGATATTTACATTTGGGACTACGGATTGGTATTCCGGTAGATCCCCTGCGCATTATGAAGTGGACTACGGGACGACGCTCGGGAGATCCATTGGATATTTACATTTGGGGACTACAGGACGATATCCTGGGAGATCCCCGATTGCTATCTCTATTGTGGAGTTACATTCTTTCTGTGATTTTTCCCTCCGTTGTAGTTATTTTTATCTTTACTATCCTGTGTTACTTCTTACTATTTCATATCTTGATATATATATATATATATATATATATATATGACCGGTAGGGCCCTGACCTTCCTCGTCACTACTCGACCGAGGTTAGGCTTGGCACTTACTGGGTACCGTCGTGGTGTACTCATGCCCTTTCCTGCACATATTTTTCGTGTGCAGATCCAGGTTCATCGGCTCAGCCATACCGTCAGTGAGGCGAGGCGATCTTCAGAGACTTTGAGGTATATCTGCCGCGTCTGCAGACCGAGGAGTCCCTCTCTATTCCCTCTGTTAGCTATAGATCTTCTGTACTTTCTTTTGACTAGGCATTCTGGAGTTAGAACCTTATGTACTGCTTCTCAGCTTGTGATTTCATGAGATTCCGGGTTTTGGGAGTTGATTCAATTTTTGAGAACATGTATTGGTTTATGCCGAGCGGCATCTTAAATGTTTCCATTTTATTTTATCTTCAGTTTTTATTCGTTTTCGTATTTCCATCTGGGGTGATATTGGAAGGTAGGATCCTTCTTATGTTCAAGTAAAGATCTACTCAAATACTCCATCACAACTGCAAAAAGGAAGGGAGAGATAGGATCTCCTTGTCGAAGACCTTTGGCAGCATTGGAAGGTTTTGTGGTTTCTCTATTCACAAGGATAGTATAATTGACTGTCTTGATGCATTCCATTATCCACATGATAAATCTGTCAGGAAATCCAAGTTCCTCTATCACCTGTTATAAGAAGATCCATTCTACTGAATCATAAGCTTTTTGTAAATCAATCTTTATCATACATCTAGGAGATATCTGGGCTCTAGTGTAAGATTTAACCAGCTCTGAGCTAGGATAACATTGTCAGCAATCTTTCTACAAGGAATTAAGCCTGCTTAAGCTTTGATGTAAGGCATTACTTTCTGCAATCTAGAAGCGAAGATCTTAGATATTATCTTGTATAGGATTGAATAGAAGGCTATTGGTCTATACTCTTTAACTATGGCAGGCTTAGTCACTTTAGGAACTAATGTAACAGTGGTGCAGTTTATGGCCTTATAAATCTTTTCAGTTGAGAAAAACTCTTTTACTGCATCTGTGATCTGAGTATTGATAATGTCCCATGCTTTCTTGAAGAAGACTGCATTAAAGCCATTACCCGGAGCTTTATCATCACCAATTTCTTTAAGACTCTCAACAATCTCTTGATTAGTTACTTCTGCACATAGATCAACTCTTTGTTGATGAGATAGTGTAGGACCATTCTTCATGTACACTCTGTTGATGGCAGGCAAAGAAGTAGCAACTGATCCCATTAGGCCTTTATAGAATTCAACAATCTCTCTTTTGATAGCATCAGGGTCAGTCAACTTATCTCCTAGTAAAGTTGTGATTTCTGTGATTTGCTTCTTTTGAGTTCTATGCTTCATTACTAATGAGAAGTACTTAGAATTTGAATGTCCAAGTTGTATCCATCTTGCTCTAGCTTTCTGCTGCAGGACACTCTCTTCAATTAAAGACCATTTCTCAAGGTTCAGTAGTGTTTTCTTCTCCATATCTAGTAGAGTATCAGTGCAATCCTGTGAGATTTTCTCTTGGATATCCCTGAGTTCTAGTCTAGACTTCTCAATTTTCTGAGTGATGCCCCTGAATTCATTAGAGTTTAAAGCTTTCAAAGCACGCTTCAGGTCTTTCAATCTTGTCCAAACTGATTTCAAAGTACCTTGTGTACTCTGTGAATTCCACATGTTAGCTACTATTTGAGGAAAGTCTTCATGTGCTGCCCATATGTTAAAAAATCTGAAAGTCACTCTACCTTTCGATGTGTAAGATGTCAGTGTTAACAACATAGGAGCATGGTATGAAATTTGGGGCAATCCATAATTTGTTTCCACATGACCCCAGGACGTCATCCATTTATAATTGCCAACAACTCTGTCCAATCTACTACTGACTCTATCTGCTCCAGGCTGCTTATTAGACCATGTGTTATAGTCACCCTTCCAAGGTAGATCTGTCAATGCAGTTTGTTGAAGGCAAGCAACAAAGTCTTGTATTTATGAGAAACTTACTGGATTAGAAGACAATCTATCATTGGGGCATAGCACTGCATTAAAGTCTCCAGCTATCATCCATGGTACTGCTATACTCAGTGAAAGTTGTTGTAGGTTATCCCATAGGACTCTTCTTTGTTCCATTCCATTGTGGCCATACACTACTGTGAGTAAACAATCAATATCACCACTTCTACTTTGTACTTGACAATGTATAATTTGAGCATCATCTTTAATATCATTGATAATCAAACTATTGGTATCCCATAATATCTAAATCCTTCCATTCCTAGCATCCTTGTAGTTTGTTAGTATATTCCATCCAGGAGCAATAGCTTTTGCAATCCTTTGAACATTCCCTTCCTTCACTTTATTTTCTATAAGTCCTACTAGCTTGATTTTATTTTCCCTAATATACTCTCTGACCTCCTTTTGTTTATACCTTTTATTTACACCCTTATGTTCCAGAACAACCAATTCATCATTGTTGTTTGATACTTCCACCTCTATCCCCAGGTGGAATATGGTCCTCATGTCTACTTGTTGATATTGCTTCAAATCTATTCTTCACTGGGATGGGAGTCAAAGGTGGGAAGTTGCTGAAGTTAAGCTCGGGACTCTACACTGCTTTGCCTCTATCATCCTGCTTTTCAGCAACAATAATCATGTTGTGTTGATCATTAGTTCCTTTAGGATCAGAAACCTTTGTTGCTCCTCTTTGATCTGCAATTTCAACTTTGTTACCGTCTTGCTGCTGTTCCACGGATGAAGTTACATTTTGAGGTTCAGGTGCATTATGTATAGGCCTCTTAGTTCTCCATTCTTGTGTGATAACCTTGTTATTCCTTATTCTCCTTATCTGGTTGGGCTGCTGCATTACAGGCCGTGCCTGGTTGGTACATTTGTGTCCCTCAACCAAGCATTTGTCACAGTAAGCAGGTTTCCAATCATAGGCTACATCTTGTAGAAACTTCTTTCCATAAGGATCCATCACCGTGATTTCAGTGGGCAATTCTTTTGTAACATTAACTTCAATAAGTATTCGAGCATAGGATACTCTAGTCTGCTTAGTAGTACACTCATCAGCAAAAACAGGAGTCCCAATTACTATCACGACCCAAACCGATGGGCCGCAACGGGCACCGGTACCTTACTCAACCGAGTACCAACATAACGTATGTTTTCGTATCATACTATCATGGATAACTGAGCCGGAGAGGCTGCTGTGAAATAGGTATAATACAACATGTAATACCAACTTACACATAAGACATATGAGCCTCAAAGACCAAAATAACCACTTGTACACTGAACATAGGCCGACAAGGCCATACAATCTTTTACGTACATGACATCTGTCTACAAGCCTCTAAGAGTACACACTTAACATAAAGGTCAGGACAGAGCCCCGCCATACCAAACAATACGCGTCTAAATCATACTGACCAAACAAGAAACTTCAGAGCAAATGGAGTGCACCAACATCTTTCGCTGAGCTGATAGCCTACTTGGAGGACTCTCGACCTGTCTATTGGGACCTGCGGGCATGAAATGCAGAGTCCCCAGGCAAAAGGGACATCAGTACAAATAATGTACCGAGTATGTAAGGCACATAAATAAGTACATAACAGATATGGAAGAAATATATAGTAAATGACTCAACCTGTAAGTCTGGATAACTCTGTAAATCATGAAATAATTATAGTGTCATGCATATGTGTATGAATGTCATGTCGTGCATAGGTACATGTTTCCTAACATCATCATGCCTCTGAGGGCATCCCATCATATCATCTCGGCCACTGTGGGCAAAATCATCAATGTATACCAGCTGATCAGGTGGTGGTGCGCATATAATGCCATAACCTTTCCCATATCCCACATAAATATATATACGCGTATATAATGTCATCCGGTCATGGGTCAATGTGCATGTATAAATGCATGAAATGCATATGAAATACGTTAATAAAATATCTTGGAACGTAATAAGACCATTATGCCTCTGATTTATATCATAAAATAAACTTTACCAACTTACGTAGTTTTGAGACCCATGAATAATATGATACATGGGAGAATAAGAATATATACATCTCTAGCATTTCTACGAATAGAGTAATTTATGAAAGTTGTACATTTGCTCGTTTCGCTTGTGTCGTATAGATAATGCCAAAAAGAAAGAAGGGATAGCCTTAACATACCTGAGTCGATTCTCTTGACAATTCTCCCAACACACGTCAATTGCGAAAACATGTAACAATGGATCAAAGTAGGGAAAAAATTTGTATGATATTCTTGAGAAAGATTGTACCGTACTCCCTTAGAATCACAAAATCCCGTTACATCTTTTTTGGCTATAATTTCAGCTTTCAAAATTATTCCACGTCACTTAATGAAGTTGTGTCTTCCTGGTGATTATAAGGAAGAACCACATGCACTTTATGTGTAAAAAGAGGCATAACGAGCATAAGAAATCTGAAGGTAATTTGCCTCTCTGAGATACATGATTTGTGCGATTCTCTCTTACCAAGAAAATATAGGTTTTAAGAGCACACTGATGACAGTACTTGGTTAAATGCTTGTCTAATGAACAAGAATGGTCTAGCCATATCAAAGGAAAGTAAAATAGAAAATTTGAATCAACTTTTACCAAAGCAGAAAACCCAAAACTCCACTTACATTCTTGGACGTTAGTGGAGTCCTTTTGATGCATAGATGTTTTGTATACAACAAATTAGGTTGCCACCTATTTAACCAAGACTAAGAGTCATATGGTTGGTGTAGTGGCTTGCGGCCATATTTTGGTGGGTTTAAGCCTATTCAAGTTTTATCCACCAATTTCCTTAATTACATGGTTAATCTTCCACCAAAAATTCATAATTAACCAAATATTCACATAATTAAGAATTATCTCAATTTACTTAAAAAATTACTCACTTTTTATACACTTTATACACCTTACTATTATGGCCATGTGGTACCTTGTGTGGCACTAGTCCATAAATATAAGGTATTTTAGCTTGGGCCGTATTTTATCCCAAAATGCCAAACTTCGACGAACTTGTTTTCTTTGATTTACTTACCCTCTCACCTTCACGAATTTACTTATCACTTGTTTGAAATAGTATGATACTTATAATCCCAAAATAATCTCATTCCCGAACTTACGTTGATTAACTTACGATGAAACTTTAATGTACAAAAATGCGGGATGTAATATCTCATTTTCGAGATTCCATCAATTTACTTATGGCGTACTTTCACGTACGAAAACATGGGGTGTAACATCATTTCCCCCCCCCCCCCCCCGGAACATTCAGCCTCGAATGTTTATTGATGCATTTATCATTCTCATAACCCATAACTCTTGCGAATACTTTAATACTCTCCTTGCCATTTAGGTAACTATTCTATGAATAAATCCAAAGGCCATGGCATTCCCCCCTTTAGGCCTCTTTCCCACACCATGGCTTGTGATCGGAATCCTTCCAATCTCGTAACTGTTGCTACCTTCTATCATGCAGTCTGTACGATATTGACCTTGTAAATGCACCTATGTGAAACCTCTCTCCTTTTTCCTCCAGTTTTTAGCCAATCTCTAGGACTCACTTTGTAAACATATATAGAGCTTGATAAAATGTCTCTTTGGGCATCTATAGGTATACTAAAGTTTTTCGCTCTGTACTTTGTTGAACTTACGAATATTGCTATACCTGCTTTCATAGATCCGTTTATCCATCCGTATGACTTTACTGCATCTAGTTGGGTCATACTATACCATGACTCTTACTTCGATTTATCGTTACTGAGGTCTACGACCAAGCTCCATGTTACTCTCGTTGCTTATCCTATATGCATAAAGCTAAGTCTTTTAACGCTTCTTCATTACTGTTCATCTTAAGACTAATGACCTAATCTCATCTCGTACTTTGTAACTTTATCCATCCATTGTCATTCACCTCAATATTGATCCAAAATCTTCCGTTGATAACTTGAAACTTCTTACGTAATACATTGCCACTAGGGCTAATGTTGCATCGAGGAATATTTGAAGTGATTTTCCTGATCCACTTGGGGGCGATACTGTACTTCAATAATCATATTTTATAGCATCCCAATGTGATTCACCTTACGTGGGTATTTTAATTCCTTACAATTCGTGAAATCCTCTTCAAATCATTGCTCAATCGAAGGCTCGAAGGTCATCCTTTATCTACAACAATTACACCCTTATTCTATTACCAGGGCAGCATTCCACCTCTTCTAAATGCCATTTGTCTTCGGCTCCTTTGAGTTCATTCAGGTTATACTAAGCTTTGTATAACTTAGAGAAACCATCAGATCTTCTTGTTTTCATAGGCTTAATCCTGAGGACTTATCCATTTCGTCACCTTCTCACTCGCCCTTTCTTATCCTTACTCCTATCTTCCTACAATCTTGTCGCTCTTCCATACTTTAGCTTGCGACCCATACATATCCATTTATACTACTCGCAACCTTCCTTCAACTTCCTTGCACCATAGATTTTCTTGTGTTATTTTGGAACATCAAGCGAGACATCGCATCGTCTCTAACTCTCCTTCACTCTCTTAGCTAGACCTCTCGATATTTAAAATCCATAGGTTGGAAGATATGCCACTGACAATGCCGCTATCATTCCTGGATACTAAATCCCTGCGCTTCTATCCTTCTATCCACAGTATGGACGATTCACAACCTTCTGCATTTGGGTATCTCTACGTTGTTCACCTTTAACTTACTTACCTTAAAATCTCACATCACATCTTCTATCTCTTTCATGACCTCCCTTCCACATGTGTATAATTCACATTCACAACTTGAAGCTCTATTATAATACTTGCACCTCTGGTGCATACACAATCCGGTGAGAGCTTCATACTGACTTCGTATGAGGTTGGTACCCTTCTAACTGCTTTATTGTAGAGCCGCTATTGAATATGGTTGTGTACTATCTCTCTTGTACCTATGATATTAAGAGTGATTCTGCAATATTCTCAATCACGAGGTCTATAATTTTCTAGGTCCAATAATCAGACTCCTGATTTACTTCATTGATGTAACTCTTTACTTTCTTCTTCCTTCTGATCAGTCTTTAGGCTTAAGCTATCTTCCAATCTGCG